GAATAAAATATAAATTTAAATATATTATAAAATTATGGGGGAAAATATATCGATATTAGTATCAAATTTATTGTTTAAAATTCTGGTTTTTTATGTATTTTTTTTAATTCAATATTTTATTTATAATTTAATTTAGATTTAATAACGAAAAGTAATTTATTTATCGTTTAATAACATAATTTTTATAGAAATAATAATCAATATATTTTGTTATAACTAATGATTCTCTTAATTATATTTTACATGTTTTATATTTAAAATGAGATGTTTATCCTCTATTTGATTATGTTTATCTATAGTTAGTTACACAAATTAAAAAATAAAACTTTAATAAGTTGTACTTACGCACAATTTACTTGTGCTCTTAAATTTCAAGTAATATACATCAATAAAAGTACTTTATACATAAAAAATAGTTTTTAAAAGTTTTTGCCAAATACTTAATAATATAGTATAAATATACTGAACCGAATGGCATTCAACATTTCTTTTTATATTATTCTTTTCAAAAAAATAATATTAATTTATTTTATTTATAAACACTCTTCCTAAACTCATTGTCCCAACTCCAGCACTGCTCCCAACAGGAATAGACTGTAAGATCTCACATTGGTTGGGAAGAAGAACAAATGTTATTAGATACCTTCTATATTAAACACATTTTAAAATCGTAAATTAATGTACAAATAAAATAAACAATATTTGTTACGGTTATACTGAGATTTTACAATTTACTAATTAATACCTAATTTGTAAACCAACAATTAATCATCACATAAATAACAAAAAGAAAAAGTGTTTTAAATAAATAATTTAATGGATTTATATATAAATAAATACAAAAAGGGGTGGTCAATTAATAACCCACCATACCTCCCAAAAGTCTAAAGTCCAAGTCCCCAAAAAGCAACGGAATGGTGACTTGGATTTGATCCCTTCAACGTGGCCTATGTATTTCTTGGACCATTTTTTTTCGTTCATATTTCTTTAATTATGAAAAATAATATTTAAAAAATTAGTCATTGATTTATTATATTATATGTATAAAGAATCAGATTGATATGAGAACGGTAACTGGAAAATACGAAAAATGCCGAATAACATGTGATTTTATACTGAAATCACACGTGATTCCATATTGAAATCACACGTGATTCCCTCGACTTTGACAGACTACGTCGTCTGCTCACCTTTGGCGTTGAACTTCTCGTAAGCGTATGTAAAATCACGTGATTTTACCGTTTCTTTGTTCTCTTATTTATATATATATATATACACACACAAGTACATGTCATTCTTTTTTTACAAATTTACAAAGCAAATGAATACGATCATATCAAACACATATTATGATCTAATATGATGTTTGGTTTACGGAATTCATAAAGGATCTTTCGTCGACCAGATTCCTTGTTCTTGTTTGTTTTGCAAATTGGATTACGCCAAATAATGTGAATTATGCAGTTGAAGGATTCGATCATTCATTTGCATAAGACAAGAATTTCATTCATTAGCCAGTGTCAGGTTTTATAGTTATTTTTAAGAAAAAGAATCGACTCTGGATTTAATTTAATCAACTCGAACCCTCACCACACGCCATCGTTGTCCCCCCCTGTTGTCATTGTCGCCTCCCCCTCCACCACCACCACCACCGAGTATCATTATTATTATTAATTTTACCTTTACATGTAATTTATAAAGTTTAAGCAAGACAAATACGATATATTCTAGGGGCATTTATTGTCATTTATTATCATTTTATAATTTCGAATATATATTATGCTAATCAAACATACAAATTATAATTTATTTGACATATTCTATTTCACTTTTTGTCAACCAAACACGTGGTCAAACCTAATTCAGTTTATTTAAGTTATTTTAAATTACAATTATTTTGACACGTTACATATTTACATCCATTGCAAAATCATCTTGCGAACCAGATACTCCCTAAGAATTTCATATACAGAGAAAACGAAAATAAAAGGAACAATTGCAAAATGCGTTTTATGTATACAAAAGCCTAATGATCCGTTTGGTTTGCTGGATTGTTTTTGAAGGATTCATATTTTATAGAGGGATTTAGATTAAAATGGATTTAAAATCATTGGTGTGTTTGGTTTGTAGGATTTGGATTCCATTATTTATAAATAATTTATATAAAAAAGTTATAAATAATTATAAAAATTGTGAAATTACATTTTTATTAATCGATTATTTTAAAATAAAATGGTTTTTAACATTTTTTTAAAACCTTAATTCATACAATCCTACGAAATCTCATGAAATCCCGAGCACCCTCTAAGAATTTCAAAATCCTATGTTTGTAGGATTTCAATTAAATCTTAGGATCTCAAATCCGAAAATTGCGACAAACCAAACATATGATTGAAATAGATTTGAAATCCAAATCCATCTAAATTCATTTGATTCCTGCAAACCAAATAGGACCTAAACGTCTTTTTCCTGAATCGATTGAATATTTGCATGCACATCAGTTTCATTAAAAATTTATGTTCGACTTATTCGCATTTGATGATGGATTTCAAAACCAGACAATACCACTAACGATTTGTTCATTTTTTGTTGAATCAGTCAAATATATTTAACAGCTTATTCGCTTCGCCATTAATCAGTGGCCTTTGTTTAATTTTCAAAAAACAACTGATATTGATATATATATATATATATATATATATATATTGGTTATTATACAACCCTTGACATTTGTGCAACCAATACAACACAATCTCAACCGTCCATTTCATTTGATGAATATGTGATTTCATTGAAGTTTTGATTGTTTCCTAATATAAAGTATTAATCATAATTAATGAACACTATTCATATTCCATAAATATTCAAATCATAATAAATGAACTCCCATCATTTCTATAAATATCTCAATTAATTGGGTTGCAAGGGTTGTACAAATACACAAGGTTGTAAAAGAAATATACCCTATACACACACACACACACACACATATATATATATATAGGGGTTGGTTCAAATACTAATCAAGATTATCGTGTTAACTTTGTTAACCGATCTTGGTCATTGATTTGAACATCCAACGGTTGTCATTTATTGAGACTACAAATTTAATTATTTAATTACCATATTAATAAAAAATTAGGTTCACAATGGTTCAGATGGTAGAATTGTAAAAAGTGAATGATCTTAACGTATCCTATTTTGTCAGCCTATTCTGTAACTTCCAATCAATAAAGAAACCGTCAATCTCATCGATCAATATTTTAAATCAGTAGCAAAAAATTAGGTTCATAATTTTCATCAAAACAATGGAGGATTTGGAAGGATTACCAGGCGACGGCATCCAGATAAGATTGAAACATGTGTGTGAACCTAATGAACAATTGAAATATTAGGTTCATAATCTTCATCAAAACAATGTGTGAACCTAATGAATAATTGAAACATGTGTGTGAACCAAATAGACATATTGTGTGAACCAATTGAACACATATGTGCACGAGTGAACACATGCCAACGTTGAGTGAACATGTGCGTGAACGGTTTGATCATTTTATTCACTTTTGGAATTCGAATTCCGAATGTATTCGTAGACGCTTTTTTCATTATCATTGTCATCGATCTGTTTGACTCTATGATAATCCATATTACTCGGGCTATAACTGAATCTTTACAAAAGGGACTTTTTTGAAATTTACAATATCAAAACCATTGTAGGAAGAATGAAATGTAAAGTAAGATGAACAAATGTGAAACTTCATGTCATTATTACATGAAGATCAATTAGTGATGTTTTAAGATTTGTAACTTTCAATTAAAATATTGGGGAGTTACATAAAAATGACAAATTACCTAAATACCCTTACACTTAATATGTGAGTTACATTTGAACCTAACTAAAAGATGAAACATGATTGGTTGATGGTGGTTAGCATAGTTAACACAAAAAAATGGGTTAATATTTGAACCAACCTCTATCTCTTTTTCTCTCTCTCTCTCTCTATCTATCTCTCTCTCTCTCTCTCTCTCTCTCTATATATATATATATATATATATATTTATTCGTTACTTTCATCAAACAACATAATTACTTTATGTCAATCATTCTATTCATGACCGCATATAGTGCACCAATTTTTTTCATGAAATATCAGATTTCATACGATTCAATAAAAGCACAAAAATACTGATTGGACCGAATATATAATACAAAGCTTTTTCTATAATGCTATTATTTATACCCCTAATTTGACCAAGTATTTATCATCATTTTGTTGAATTAATACCTCTTCTTTGTTGCACTTTAGTAGGCCATGGGTGTTATGCTTTTGACTCACAATATGCATGTCATATAATTTTATAGGTATTATAAATTAATATTATTGATTATTAGTTGGACCAGTTTTTTAAAATTAATCTGGATATTTAATCTATCATGCGAGTCGATTAATCCCAGTGCGACCACCTGTTTTGCTGGTAGTCCGGAGTCACTGCATTTGAATCTCCATGGTCACAAGGAGATTTTTATTCCTCATTGAATTTGAATATGTACCACGATAACACTGTATCGTACCAAATTATTTTTTAAATTATTTATTAATTGATGTTTAATAAATAAGATATTATATTTTGATTTTTAATTATTTAATTTTCCATTTTTTTGAATCCTAAATTCATATTAATTAAAGGTTATACGAGGAAAGCACATACTATTAATTAAAAGTTTATGGAGTGGAAGAAAAGCCTTACAAACCAACTATACTAAAAAAAACTTGTTCACATTATAATTTTAAAATACATATAATAACACACAACAAATAAATATAATTACATATTTCATGAAGCTAATTATTTTTTACTCTTAGAATGATAAATAATACGGTCACACGTCACTTGAAAGATTTACATACTGCCACATAACCAAACCCAACCGAAGATAATTCGGCTTATTTTATTCCAACCCGACCCACGGCCCATTTCTGGTGGACTTTGTAACAATACCCATGGAGTCACGGACGGCCTCTCGCAGATCATCGTCGTCTTCGGATTCATCACCGGTCAAACGCTCCGGTCTTAGTTTCTGCGTGTTTTTTGGTCGAATAATTGCTCGGTCTCTTTCGCTTCTCGTCGTCCTTTCAGGTCAGCGCATATTCCTTCTTTTCCAGACTGTTGATGTGATGCTATTATTCGACATGATTGTGTTTACGACTGAATCATACAGATTCGTATAAAATCTTGATATTTTGTGATGACATGATTCGATAGAATTTCTTGTTGAAATTGAAAATTTAGGCGTCCATTGACAAGAACCCTTTATAATACGTGATTGATGCATTGTGTTAGGTTTTGACTGCTTCAAGCTGCGAAATTTGATTGAATCACGAATGTTTTCAATTCAATAATAATGATTTCTTATGACAAATTGACAGTCACAGGTGTATACAAAGTTTTGTAGAAGAATAAAACATCATGGGTGTGAAACAAGTTATAAAGAACCTTGATGCCTTTCCGCGTGCAGAAGAGCATCTACTGCAAAAAACACAATCCGGTGCTGTTGGTAAGTGTCTTTGATATTGTAAATTTCTTGATGTTTATAAGAGCATGTCTGAGGGAGTGTGTTCACTTGGGTGGCTACCATGTACATTTGTATGATAAATGATTACTCTAAAAAACAAGAAGAACAATGAACAAATGTCTTTGATTGATAAAACCCAGAATCATACAGTTAAGGGACATTGTAACCAGAAGAAAGTATGCCTAATTTGAGAAGAAATTGGAAAGAATATTGTTAAATTTACTTGAATTTTACTGTCCTAGGCTGTAAGTTCCATTGTAGCAAGTCACTTTATGGCTCAAGTCTGCACCCGTGAACCAAAAAACGGCTGAACAACCTATAGCTATAAGTAGATAATTTGGAATTCAGTCCATTCCACTAATACATACATTGTAGAAATAGTTGAAGTGGGTTTGGTTTTAGTATTATTGGTATTTATTCCATCATTTGTATCTTTAATTTGAAGTCTCTCTCCCCTCTTTTGTTTGTCTAGTTTCAATTGCAGGTTTGTTGATAATGGCAACGTTATTTGTGCATGAGCTGACGTACTACATTTCTACATATACAGTTCACGAGGTTTGTCCTTTCACTTTTTCGGTTGCCATAATATTTCAGCCTTGATGGTCACGACTTTAAATTTATTATATGTGCTCCACAGTGGTTATATCTTGTAAAATTAATATGTTGGCAGATGGCTGTTGATTTGAAACGTGGAGAAACACTACCGATCCATATAAATATGTCATTCCCTTCTTTACCCTGTCAAGGTTAGCAATTTTGTAGTCAAATTGATTCCCATGTTTAGTTTTTCATAACTAGCATTTTTCCCTCCATTTTCACATTTCTGTTCTGGTCAGTTTTGAGCGTAGACGCTATTGATATGTCTGGCAAACACGAAGTGGATTTAGATACAAATATATGGAAGGTATGAATTTTGTTTATATTGTTAGAATATAACGTGTTATTTACTTAGATGCGCAAGATGTACATATTTTTGTAGACATGCAACATCTTAGACTATTACTGTAGCAATATGATTTAAGTGGTGGATTTTTTATTCAATTCTTAAATCTCAGGCTGCATTAAATGACATATGGCAGGACAAGGTTTTATTTGTCTCTTGGGGATTCTTAAATTCTTCAATCTCAGCTTGGCTTAGTATTGGATTTCATGTTTCAATAGGACTAGGTATAGTCATCTACCCACTAGAATTCATGTTATAGGAGGATGCCTACACACAGGACCAAGCAGATGCTAGGCATAATCATAGGAGCAAATAGTGAAAATAAATAGCAACCCTATTTTTACCATATTAAATATTTTCTGTAAGGAGTTAGGAGAGAAGAAGCAATCATGTTTGATTTGACAATAATTCATGAATATTGAAATGAGCGTTTTGGGAGAGAACCCACCTTTCGAAATTGCGTCATTTTGTGTTGATTATTTGCTACCAATAAATCATTGCTGGGCTCTATCAATATATGAGATGCTGCTGTGAGGGATTAACTACTCCCTCCAAATTAAGAAAAGCATTAGTTTTTAAGATATTCACATTGGGATCATGGATACATCATGAACAAATGGAAGTTTGTGCAATTAAATTGTCAATACTCCCTTTATAACAAAAGACCCTCATGTTAAATTCACTCATACTTCATTGTTTTGTCCATTTCCCATATCTAGTCATGTGGGCCCATCTTTTTTTATAATCATGCTATACAATCATATCCACAAAATGAAAATGGAGAATACAAGAACATTGCCAAAATGAGTAGTTACTTAAATGTTGAGAATATTTTTTGTTCTCTCTTGTGAAAACCTTTTGTTAAGAATCAGATAGCTAAGGAGAGTTTTCATCATCTCTTGCTATAAATCAATTTTCTTGTTATATAAGATGTTTACATCAAATAATAATATCAGTATGCACCTCCAGAAACAATATAAAGAATTAGAGATGAACGTTCGTTTAAATCAGCCAGGAACTGCTTGTTCCTGATATGACTGTAATTGGAAATAACAGATGATGGAGATGCACTGGAAAGATAGAATTTTGGTGATTGAAGATGGAAGGGAGGTATAGAGAGAAGTTTGAAAAGTATGGGACTTGGGAAGAAGACAGAGAGATAAGTGTAGGCATCAAATATCTTGTAGGAGGTGTAGTAGTATGAATAGTATACTTAAACCATTTTGTAAAGTCAAACGAGAAATCATTTGATAGTATTTGTGTGAAAATATTAGTGTTCTTTCCAACCTTCTCGTTGTCTTTGTGTGATTATTGATTTAGAAGCCTATCTAGGCCTCGTAGTCTCAATCAGGGTTGCTGACTTGACTTAGAAGCTTGATTCATGTGCTAAGGCCATAATTAGGGAATCAATAACCTGGTGACATTTAGGTTTGGACTACAATTCTTCGTACAACTCGCATGAGAGTTTTGCTTTAACCATTGGTGGCACCTATGTATTGGCAGACACATGGTGTTCCATTCATTGTTCTGTTTCATTCTATTCAAATTTGTTTTTGTTGTGCTGTCTCTAGATTCCATATCGACCCTCGAAGATTCCCAATGTCCAGTTTCACTGTCAGTCAACTAGTTCAATCATCGTACTCTGCTGTCCAGTGTGTTTGCATACTTCTTTCACAGGGTTTTCTGTCCTGACTATACACCAGATCTATTTTGCTCTACCCAACGTTGTGTGCTAGCCTGCAGTGGCTGGATAGAAAAATTCTCTCTCTTGATGTAGATGCCATATGTTAGCTTGTTGTGTTCACATGAGCACTGCAAGTCTTTACAACTCCCTTTCATTTCTGCTCTCTTCAACATGGTTCTGGATAAAAATCAGAAACAACCAGGAGTGTCCAGAAAAATTCTGGAATCCTTCTGTTTGTTTCAAATTTAAATATGGAATGATATTTAAGAGGAAAGTTTGAAGGGAACCACGAGATCTGATCTGCTGCGACACTTGTAGACATGTTGCTTCTCTTTTGATCCATAACCGATCCATGCCTTGTTGCATCAATGGTTTCATTTCATGAAAATCTTCCATAATGGCATTCTTAAGGAGTGATAAAATAATCTTTTGATGATAGGGAAATTGGAAATCAACAATTCACACTGTTTGATAGATGGAAAAAATCAAATCATCTAAAATGGAAGAAACATGGATGATGAATCAAACAAAGTAATAGGAACATTCAGTTTTATCTTATATTAACCCTTGACGAATATAAAATGTTAATTTGCGGAGTTGTTCATATGGGGGGACTGGGGGATCATAAAACAGTGAAATTGAGAGTGAGGCAAATGTATGTGGAATAATTGGCACTGTATCTAGCACTGTCTGTTAGTAAAATAGGTACAGCGGTGGAGCTGCTCTACTTTTTTGAACAGGGGTTTGGTCTGTGTACATCTTACCCCTTATGGACCCCACCTCTGGGTGGGACACACCTGGTTTGTTTGGTTTGGTACAGCGGTGGCAGGCTGCTGACTGTGTTTGTTGTTTCTTTTATCCTTCAATTTCTTGAGCCAACTTAGGAAAGTTGTTAGTTTTATCAGCTATTTTGTAGCCAAACAAACGAATTTCAATGGTACTTGCATATTTTTCTTATTTATTACGAAGTAAACAATGCCACTGAGGCACTAACATAACCTAGAAAAAGAAATGTTTGGGAAGTCACATAGGCAGAAATCACATGCAGTTCTAGTTGCTACAATTTGGGTCTTGTCAATATCAAGCATAGGTTGACTGAGATGAAGTTGATGGCTGATCTAGATTCCGTACTTCTTTTTGGCTTAAGCATACACACGATGCTTATGCACACTATTGACGTGGAATAAGCATTTACTGACTCTCTCCTACTCCCAATCATTTCCTTGGGTTTTTTTTTCCTTGTATCTATGGGTTTTATTTATGGCATGACCCAACTAGTTTGAGATAAAAGGCTTAAATTGTTGTTCAAGTTTTATCTTATGTGATTAGGAATCCCAAACCACATTACCTGGGGTCTAATGCCTCTTGACCATATTTTTGTCTACTCGGCACTCGCTTGTCTATTAGTCCTGTATCATCTTTTGCTTTTACTTTTACTTCTGATGTAAACTCTTGTGGGATTTATCCAGCTTACCCATGCTAGTTTATGATAAAGGCTTGGTTTAGTTGAGTTTCATTTGATGTCGTTTGTCCTAGTTGATGCATTATCTTTCTTTTAATGGGCAAGAGTTATTGCAGCTTCGATTGAGTAGAGAAGGGGTGATCATCGGGACAGAGTATCTATCTGATCTAGTAGAAAAGGGGCATACGACTCATAAGCATGGTAATCACTTCTGAATTTATCTGGTTTAACTTGAATCTGTGATCTTTATTTATTGTTGATTATCTGACTATTTTGTTGAATTCATTTCATGATTTTAATATCATTCTCATAGTATTTATATGCTTCTGGAATTAACTATGATGCTTATGTAAATCTTTCTGATCAATCTACCAAGCACTGTAGAATGCATTTATAATTTCTGAACCTCACCCTACTTGTTTCTATTACTTGGAAGCATAATTATCAAAGCAAGAGTTTGTTTAGTTACTTTAGTTGCTACTTATTCTTTGGTTGACTTCATATAGTTGTGCTACAATAGGCCTCACTGTGTTTTCCATGCATTGTTTTTGTAGCCAACTGATTAATTGGATTTGCTTAGTCAATTCGATTCAGTAAAAATGTCTAGTTTAGGTAGGATAAATAGGGTATTCAAGTGAGGTAATGGTTATTTGGGGTTTATAGCTTGAACGAAAATCCTTGTTTGTTTGTTTGGTTATACTAAAATACTTGAACTTAAAATAAAGGAAAGTAAATGAAGTTGTTATACATAAGACATTGAGAATGAAAAAGAAGTGTAATGAACAAGACATTCATTTGGATACCTTCAGTAGGGAAACTGCTCTTGCCTTTTTAAATTTGATAATGTAATCATTAAAAAGGAGGAGGAAGATGTAGATATTTCTTGAATAAAGCAATAATCGTTGTATACATTGACTAGGGTGATTTTGGCACAATTGTCCAGATCGCCCCAATGTATCTTAGAAAATCATCACACCAGGTAAAGCTTTTCACTTTCAAAGATGGATGTTTGTTACACATTTGATGTAGTTTCATAAATATACTCTTCATTTGAGTTAAGTCATGGGATTACAAGATTAACTTGATAAGGCAAAGAGTAAAAATCCTACTTTATATCATCTTATGGGATAACCCTAGGCATTTAGTTCCTTATCTTCTTGGTAGTTGGTTTCTCCAATTGGTCTGCATGTTGGTGAAATGTACTGGTTAATAGTGGAAGATGGCGATTTAGAGGGACTGTGAATTGGGAACAATGAACAACAAAAATTGTAAAAACAATTTCAACCTTTGTTGCTTCTTTATACCATTTTATGTTGCATTCGCATGCGTTGCATATAGTCTCCTTTGTGTCTAGATTCATTAAGAGCAATATGTAACTTCTAATCTTACATGAAACAACCAATTCCTACATTAGTGTAGAAGAAAATAATGCTCCTATATACAAAATACAATTGTATGGAAATCTTTGTAAATCATATATGGAGAATTCACGACAAAGCTGCTTTGGCATTCACACACATTTTGTCTGTTAGAAACAAACTTTGCTCAGAAAATAGATAAGCATGAACTCTGGTATTCATATGACTAGTAATAGTTGGTATGGAATGCTTGCTAGGTAGAAAGCTTTCTTGCTTGCAATTTACAATGATAATTTTATTGCTCAAGTAATCGGTATGTCTTTCATATCTAAATGTGCACATTTTGTTCAAATTGTGGATGGTTTGGCTCATGCGAGAGTCTAAGGGTTTAGCATTCAAAGTGTATACATTACTTTAATATAAATAAGCTAACTTGGATTGGGATCTTATGTCATTTGATAGACATAAGCATGCCTCAATGTTGCGTATACGATTTTGATGGTTGTTTGGTTTCTTGTGTCATTATCAGGACATTCTAGACTATTGAGCTGTTAGAGCTCATTATCTTCACTTAACATGCTTTTTATCTGCCTTTTATGATAATTGCTCCGATTGCATTGTGTGGGAGCCTCTAAATCTTGTTTTGATTATTCTTGGAATAACTAAGGGGCCGTTTACTAAAGGCTTACCCGGTAAGTACTTACCGGCTAATTTTTCTCACCGGATGAACATGAAAGGGCCAAGAATCTTACCCGGTAAGAATGATGATAAGGATGGAGAGTCTTACCCGGTAAGTGAGGGTGATGACTCTTAACCGGGTAAGCACTTACTAGGTAAATTGTTGCATGAGATACGTTTTGATCTACTACAATCTTACCAGTAAAATAAATTATAGTGTTAGACTCCTAACGATAAGCACTTACCGGGTAAGCATTTAGGTAAACAACCCCTAAATCATGCTTTCCTAGAAACAACATGGCTGAGCCTGTGAGAGGTTCCTTCTCACTAGACATTAAGGAGTTGTTTACCAAATGCTTACCGGGCGTCACTTGCCTTACCAGTTGAGATGGCAAAAACCAAGAATCTTACCTGGTAAGAGGCATGGGAAGGACCAAGAATCATTTTCTAATTGGGTAAGTGACAGAAAAGACTCTTACCCGGTTAGCACTTACCAGATAAGACACGCTTACAAATAACCATTTTGATATCCGAGAATGCTACCCTCTTAGGTAAGCGAGGGTGGTGACTCTTGCCCGTAAGCGTTTGGTAAACGGCCCCTAAAATCATTAGGTTTTGACTCATCAGGGTACGAGTCATAGTGGTCAATCTTTCAGGAAATAAGACAAATTTGAATGTATAATGTTTCATACATGTCAATTGCATGTTAAAACTATATATTGGTGATATCGAGGTTCTTACATATTAGTTTGACCAGAAAATGAGACAGATCATCACGAGGATTCGGACAAAAAATTTCATCTGGAAAAATTTGATGATGAGGCCGATACTATGATTAAGAAGGTCAAGCAAGCATTGGCTAGTGGAGAAGGATGTCGGGTATGTGTTCAACGATTTTGTAACATTTAACGGTACAAATTTTTGATAAGAAGTTATTCATTATAGTAAGGGACTAATATTCTTGTCAACTGAATTAGGTTTATGGGGTGTTGGATGTTCAAAGAGTTGCTGGAAACTTCCATATTTCAGTTCATGGTTTGAACATTTTTGTTGCACAAATGGTAAGTAAAACATGATTTTGTGTCTACTTTATAAATCACTATTTAGGAGGTTACAGTTAAGGTATGATATTAGAAACATTTGTTCTGAAACTTGTTCTTCTACGTGACGTGACCACTCGCGTACACCTCCAAACTAACCATGCGAGCTGGGACTTGCAAACTGAGTGGCTGGGATGCTTTGTATAAAACTTGATATTGATTGTATTGATTGAAAAATAATAATAATCTGATACACCTTATATAGGTAAAACTAATTACACTTTGGACCCTAGACAATATTAATAATATAAACTAGACTAGTTGACTTAGTCAAACATTCCCCCGCAAGTTCAGCGCGGTTAGCAATCTGCAACTTGGACCGTAG